GGGGGGCGTGGGGGGGGGGGGTGGGGGGGGGGGGGGGGGGGGTGGGGGTGGGGGTGGGGTTAGGAATGAATGGTTAGGACATTTAATTCCAAAACCTGTTAAAGTGTGTTTATTGTAGGTGGCAGATGTGTTTTTATTACCTGCCGAGGAGGTTGTTAGGATCACTTAAATGCGGATGCCCCCCTACACTTTTTACAGTACGCTATTCAAGTTAGGGCAACGTGGCGTGAAGGCTTGACAATCTATTCGAGTTACTTAGTTTTGTTTAGGTTAGATTTATTTTGTTTTTGTTCAGGTTTAATTCATTTTTTAAATAAGTTGAACTTAAATAATTTTTTTAACTTTTTTAGAAAATGAGTCCGACATACTTGATTCGTTTATACGTAAATACTCGAGTTCGACTCGAATTCGGCTTATTTTGAACTCATTCAGGTTCCTCTCGTTTTTTAAACAAGTCGAATTTAAATAATATTTTAAACTCATTTAAAATAACGAGCTCGAAACACTCGGTTTGAACTCAACAAACTCAACTCGTTTATGTGTAAATATTTGGGCTCGACTCGAATTCGGCTCGTTTTTTAAATGAGTCGTATTTGGAACAATTTTTTAGATTCGTTTAAAAAAAAGAGCTCGCAAAGTTTGAATTGTTTTCTAAACGAACCAGGCTTAAAACAATTTTTCAAACTCGTTTGAAAAAACGAGCTCGAAAGACTAGGCTCCAGCTCAGTCGAGCTCATTTTATTATCAGCCCTAGCTACATGAATTTTATTTAGTGACTGTATTATTCTTTGTCGTTACATTAATAATGAACCCCACTATTTTTTAGGTTCGTTTATGATAAATTTATAGCTACAAGCTAGGCAGGTTCAAGTTGACATCTGGGGCTCCACACACAACCCCCACCCCCCATTGCATATTCCATCATTAAGTTTGTAATGGGAGTATTAGTATTACTGTGCAAGTCAAATTGGTTGAACTAGTCAAGATGTGGATTTGAATTCAGTCCAAATTAGAAAATTCTCAACTCCTTTTCAATTGTAATACTTCACCTTTTAAACTTTTGTTGAACTATGGTCGCACAGCCCCAGCTAAAACTCGAACCCAAGTGAGTGATTTTAATTCGGGTTCAAATATGGTTCAATCCCTTTAAATTTTGAACTTATACAATCGTTTAGCTAAAATATACCAACTCGAATAAGTCCCAAAGACCTCTACTTGGGTAACCTCAAAAATTATTTTGGGTTAAAATCTTTTGGCCCAAATTAAAATTGCGTAAAGCCACTTGTGCTTTTAAATGGAGGCCCATAAACTTTACCCGTGTTCTAGATCCGGTTTGGTAAAGAAATGGGCAAGGCCCATCCAAACACACCCTACCTAACCCAAACACTACAAAGTTCATTTACTTATTCCTTAACTAAGAGACATGATTCCTGAAAATTTGTATTCAAAACCTGAATTTTATACTATGTTGGATGGCGTGATGAAAATGGAAAGTCTGACAATACTATGCAACCTAAATTTGGAATCTCAAATCAATAAGGATTATTAAATTAGTGACTCCCATTTAAAAAAATTGATAGAACCCACTGATTAAATAATTCTTGTTCATTTGGGATGCTATTTGGGTTCTAAATTTGAGTTGCATAGCATTCTCCTTGTAAAAGAAATTGGACATGAATTTAGCTTAAAGGCTGTGTTTGTTTAGCTTGCAAATGTTTGTCTTAGGCATGAGAATTGCAAATAAACAAAAATAGAAATGTTGGGTCCCAAAAAGATTTTATTAGAACATCATGTTGACTCATCGTTTTCAAAACACTGATTCCAACATCACTAGTGGTCCGTTTGGTACAAAGATAGAAAGAATAAAGGAAGAAAAAATAAAAAGAATAAACTTTTCCTCTTCGAAAGAAATAAAGTTATTTTCTTTCTTTTTTGTTTGGTAAGAAGGATGAAAAATAAGAGGGATATATTTTCTATTGTTTGGTATTGGATAAAAAAAAAAAAAAAAAAAAAAAGAAAAACATGTATGGCTAATTTACAATTCTACCCTTAAATATATTAAGTAAATTTTTTTATTACAAATCAATCCAATTAATCTGGAAAAGCTTTTAGTCCCCTTATTTTTGTTACAAAAACAAAAATGAAAATGAAAATGAAAAAAAAATATCTAAAATTGATTTGGGGGAATTAATTTTAGCATTGAATGATTTGTAACTATTAATTAAAAAAATGACAAAAATGGCATTAATAAAAAATAAGAATATAAAAAAAATTACACATTGGTGCATTTTACTAGATAAAAAATGAATACACAAAACTAAAAATAATATTTAAATTCTATAACCATACCATTAAAAAAGAGTGGTGAGCTTCGAGGGGCGGACATCATCAAAAGTAAACTAGGCATAGAGTACTGTCCAGAATATAAATGGACAAGAGGGCATAATAGTAATTTAGCTTAAACTTGATGAAGGTCCGCATCTTCTCTTCCACTTTCTGCCCAAAACAGGGGATTAGGTTTCCTTCTCATTTTCCATTCCACTGTGTTTCTCTTCCAAACCAAACAAGTGAAAACCTTTCCTTTCCCTCTATTTTCCATCATACCAAACACAGCCTAGGGTTGATATTGGAAATAAAATTAAGGCAGTGTAATCTGATTAATCATGAAACAGATAAAAACAAATAAGATTTTTAATGGCTGAGACAATTGTCAAGCCTTAAGACCATGAGAAAACTATGGCAGTAATCAATATTGTCACATTGTGTAACTATTGTAATGGATATTTACTCTGCAAGGGTTAGCTTCCTAATATTGTCACCATAGTCAAGTCTCATGTCATTTTACCAGGGATATATAGAAGTTTTTGGATTCTATTTTTAGAAAAACACAAAATAAAGACCATTTTATACGTTACACGTCTTGAGTTTGAATTTTTTTCTTATCACCAATTTTGGGAGATTTAGCTGGTTAATTGTTTGATGCATATGGGACATGAGATTACATGTTTATACACAGGGCTATTAATCAAATTGAGCAATTCGAATTCGGCTCGTTCAAGCACGGTTCGTTTTCTAAATAAGCCCGAACTTGAATAAGTTTTTAAGGTCGTTTAGAAAACAAATCCTACAAACTCAGTTCAAACTTGACAGATTCAACTCGTTTATCTGCAAATGCTTAAACTGGACTCGGGTTCGACTTGTTTTAAGCTCGTTCAGGTTTAGATCGATTCCTAAATGAGCCTAACTTAAACAACTTTTCAGGCTCGATTAAGAAACAAACTTTTCAAGTCCAGCTCGAACTCGGCTCAGGCAGTTCGACTAACAACCCTATTTATATATACTTGTAAATATTAGTCAAGCATTTATCTTGATACCATTGATATAATGAAAATATTTTAAAACATAAAAATTTGGAGTCGAAGTTAGACATTTTAGGTTTACAATATATGTTAATAGATCAATTTTGAGCCTAAATTGTTGAGATTAGGGTTCTAGTTCTACAAAGTATTGTTAAGATTTTTAGAATTGAGAGAAATTAAGTGGAGTTGAAATATAGAACTAGAGCTACTTACGATCGTTGTTTATATAGAACTAGAGCAATATAGAACTAGAGCTACTTACGATCGTTGTTTATATGAATCATGTTTCTCCACTATACTTTAATTGTATAGCCAACCCGTCTAATAATAATAATAATATTTAGCATTGTTTAATCAAAATACCATCATAATAATTAAACATCTCTTTCATGAACAATAATGGTTCTAGTTGTTGCATCAGTACAATAAGGGTTTAGGAGGGAGATGATTACAAAACCGACAGAAAAAGACCCCTCAACGACAATCTTTTCTCTGCACACATATGTTAAAGGAAAAAAACATGAAATGGAGGGAGATTGTAGCTTCTGTTTCCCTTTCAAACACACCCCGCCCAACACACACACACACACAACCCCCCCAACCCACCCACCACCACCAGCAGTTCTCATCCAAAAGGTAAGCAAGTTTGTACCCTTTTTTTTTCCTTTCTTTGCTTTATCTTAGTATTCAAGTGAGAAATCCATGTTGTTGGAAGATGGTGTTGTTGAGTACGTTGAGTATTCTCCAAAGCTAACCTCCCTTACTTTATACGTACTCTTTCAGGATTCTCATCTTCTGCTTATCCTTCCACGGTATTTTCCATTTTTTTTTCTGTTTTTTAGAAGCTATAGTATCTGCTCTAATCTCTTGGCTGTTTATTGTGATGTATGTATGCCATTTTGATCAATAAATACATACCTGGGTTTAATTAGAGGAGGAGCATCATGCCTTTCGGGTTGGTTTCAGCCTGGAACAAGCGCAGGAGAAGCAAGTCCGAGGATCACATTAATCCTTGTATGTTTCTTCTTCGCCTTCTTCCCATCCTTGTTCTTATCCTGAAATATTTTCTTAAATTCTTGTATCTGTGAACAAATTTTTTCATATTTGAATGCCTGATGCATTCCACTTTCCAGGGATATATAAACCAGTGGAATTTTGGCAGCTTGAAGATCAAAATCCACCTGCAAAACGGCACCATGGATCAGCAGTTTTCACACTCAAGGAAATGGAGGAAGCAACATGCTCTTTCAGTGATGAGAATCTGGTTGGCAAAGGAGGATTTGGTCGAGTTTACAAGGGTACTTTGCGGTCTGGAGAGGTTTGTTCTAACAATCTCTTTCCCCTCCCCCCCCCCCCCCCCCCCCCCCCCC